CCTATGGCCGCCCCCACATCCCCCCTGGCTCCCCCCACAGGCTCCTGCAAGCTGGACCCAACCGAGGGCAACACCCGCACCGACAACACCCGCACCGATGGCGACACCCGCGCCGACGGCAACACCCGCGCCGACGGCAACACCGGAACCGACAACACCCGCACCGACAACACCCGCACCGACAACACCCGCACCGACAACACCCGCACCGACAACACCCGCACCGACGGCAACACCTGCACCAACGACACCCGGACCAACAGCAACACCCGCACCGACAACGCCTGCGCCAACAACACCCGCGCCGACAGCAACACCGACACCGGCACCGCCGCTCTCCTTCTGCGGCCGCTACGGCCCCTTCGCGGCCCCCCGCCCCGCCCCCGACGACCCGTAGCCCCCCCCAGCCCCTTTTTCAGTCGATTTTTGTTCATTTTTAGCCTTTTCCCCGTTTTTTTGCCTCCCCCCCCCCCAAGCCGTCCCCGGGCACCATTTTGTGCCCTCCTTGGTAGCCTCCCCCGCCGCTTCCCGCCGCCCTCCATTAAAGCCGCTCATGGCGACGCTCGGGTCTCAGCTTCTTGTGCGAGGGGAGGGGGGGAGCGGGCCATTTTGGGTTGAATTTGGGGTTTTTTTTTGCACCGGGAGGGGGCGCTGAAGGAAGACACCAAAGATGGCGGCGCCCGTTGCTAAGGCAACCGCTAAGATGGCGCCGCCAGCCAGGAGCCAAGATGGCGCGCGCGGCCTCCAAGCGAGGGCAGGCGACCGTTGCTAGGAGACCGCTCCTTTCCCCGCCCCCTTGCGTCACTAAAGGGCGCCCACCCGCCATCAGCCAAGATGGCGCGCGCGGCCTCCGAGTGAGGGCCCGTTGCTAGGAGACCGCCGCTCTGCCGCCGACGTCACCGAAAGGGCGCAGCCGAGCCAGCAGCCAAGATGGCGCGCGGGGCGTCGCCGCGCGGGGCCGGGGCGGAAGCGGGGCCTGCGCTTCCGGTTCGGAGCGGCGGGCCCGGCGCGGGCCGCGGTGCCGGTGCCGGTGCCGCCATGTCGGACACGTGGAGCTCGATCCAGGCGCACAAGAAGCAGCTGGACTCGCTGCGCGAGCGGCTGCAGCGGCGGCGGAAGCAGGACCCGCTCGGTGCGTGGCCGGGGGCGCCGCGGGGGGGGCCGGGGGCGTCATTAGGGACCAGGATTAACCAGGGCAGGGTCTAAGGGACATCATTAGGGGCCAAGGGCATCATTGGGGTCTAAAGGACATCATTAGGGACCAGGATTAACCAGGGCAGGGTCTAAGGGACATCATTAGGGGCCAAGGGCATCATTGGGGCCAAGGGCCACCATTAGGGACCAGGATTAACCAGGGCAGGGGCCAAGGAGCCTCGTTAGGACCCAAGGGCCACCATTAGGGACCAGGATTAACCAGGGCAGGGTCTAAGGGACATCATTAGGGGCCAAGGGGCATCATTGGGGTCTAAGGAGCATCATTAGGGACCAGGGGGCATCATTTGGGCCTAAGGCCCACCATTAGGGACCAGGATCCACCAGGACGGGGTCTAAAGGACATCATTAGGGAGCAGGAGGAACCAGGACAGGGTCTAAGAGACATCATTAGGGACCAAGGGCATCATTGGGGTTTAAGGGGCATCATTAGGGACCAGGGGCCACGAGGACGGCGCCCAAGGAGCATCGTTAGGACCCAAGGGGCATCATTGGGGTCTAAGGGGCATCGTTAGGGACCAGGATCCACCAGGACGGGGTCCAAGCGGCATCATTGGGGTCTAAGGGGCATCATTAGAGACCGGGGGGCATCATTTGGGCCTAAGGCCCACCACTAGGGACCAGGATCCACCAGGACGGGGTCCAAGGGCCATCATTAGGGAGCAGGAGGAACCAGGACGGCGCCCAAGGCCCACCATTAGGGACCTGGGGCCACCAGGACGGGGTCT